TGTATAAGAGTGATTTGCAAACACGTTTCTGTGTGCCCTCTACTGCCCTGCACGACCGAATTCATGTTGTCCCGGAATTCGAACTCGGTACTTCTTGTGCTTAACGCAATAGTAGGCAATAAATTTAACTATCGAGCCAGTCGAGGTTCGCAGTACGGCATAGAACAGCTGTACAAAGCAATCATTATGTTCCTATATTCGCAAGTATTGTAAACAACTCGTCGTTGGCTGTATAACGCAAACAAATTAATAACGGCGTTTAAACAAAAACAAAGAGCGGTTTAATTAAAAGATCTAATTGGAAACAGTTTCACGACCGAACGTAATTAAAGCGACGTATCCACTCTGAAGTTAATGCATTTCCCGAATTCGGGCGGGCTTTGGCCGACGAGGGGCCCGACGGGGGACGGGGAGGTAACACAGTCAACTTTGGGAGCCCGTAAACGTCTGTTAATTAGTGGCGTGTGACAAATTAAGGTACATCCACAGCGTCCACGCAAACGACGTTGTTTCGCTTTGACTCAATCGAGTCTGTTCCACCTTTATCCTTGCCGAAGAGGACGGGAGAGCACTCAAATTTACTAATTAATTTAACGTGAAATTAGTAGCATAGTTAAAGATGCCTACGGTTTTCGATACAATGGACATATTAATACATTTAAATAAAACACTCTAACGGTTTAAAACGCGATATATTAGTTAAAAAAGCAGCCGTGGTCATGGCTTACTTAAACATATTATTATTATTAATATATTCTATGGGTGATCAGTCCACATCACCTGCTAATCATTTCACCCATTTCCCCAGTTCCCTGTTACTGTTTCCCTTTATTATATAACCCCCCTTCTATTTCATTGCAAAATGTTATTATTTGTTCCGTCTTTAGTCCTCTTAATTTAACATTATCTGTTACTCGTTTTTTATCCCATGTCCCTTAATTTTGAGTACACCCTACATAGAGCAGAGTAAATGGATGCAATTAGGCTAATATATATATATATATATATATATATGTAATTAAATTATTATTTTAACAACGCATGTCGTGTACTTATATACTTGTGTTTTATTTAGACACGTGTTGTGCGTCGAAATATCTTTTGATTTGATTTAGAGTTTTAGACGTATTATGTTAAAACATAGTTTCCACGGCGCATGCGACGAAAGATGTTTTGTGGCCCTTTTTACACCGTGGACGACATTACTAAAGATTCAATAGGGATCTATAATATTTCATAGCAATAAATATAGCTTATGTTACTCGGAGCAATGATGCTTTCATTGGTGAAAGAATTTGTAGTATGTAGTTTTAAAACTCTCTTACAAACATGCAAAAATATTAAAAAAAGCGAAATATCGTTTCAACAAATTTCTGAGTACGTATCACTGATTTATTTCACGGTTTTATTTACGTGCAAGTAGTTGATCAGACTTCTGTGCCCGACCGAAACAATCTATAATCCCCGGAGTTCGAACCCAAGACCTCACTTTTTTAACGGTAACATGCTGAAACCTTAGGCTATAGAGACGGACGAATAAATATAGAAAGTTATCTCTTTATAACATTAGTAGTTTATAACACATTTGTGCTATGGTAAAACTTGGTTCGGCGTTCAAACAATAAGTCGAAAACACAGCGCTACAATAATTAAATCGACTCGCCATAAATTATTCGCCAGTGAAATGTATCTATTAATTAGAGTGTTGTCGAGCCGCACTCGCACGTCCATCATTGGAATTGGATTTAGTGCATTGTCGGATATTGCTTGCGACAGCGCTTAATGAAAGCCTACACAGCCATTGTTGCTACTGCTAACTAGGCACTATCCACACGTCGCACGTTGTAATGCTTTGCTAATTGCTCTTCACAGTGTACATCTGTTTATTAATTTTTTACTCTCACACATGAAACTGGCGACGTCATTACGTTGCGTGGACAATGACAAACAGATTTTTCGTGTTGTATTCGTTTCTATTGTATATCGAACAATTCTCAGAGAATTAATAAATACTACACTTATAGCACGTTTTTAGGTGGCTACAGGAAAACAATATTTTTAGTCGAACATGAAACAATTGAATGAAAACTTTGAATGATTTGCGCCTGCGCATGTGTGATAAACTTTGTAAAAAGAGGATGCCTAATTTAAGATATTGTAAGAGACAAGAACCTTACGTATAAAGACTATAAATACGAGAATTCTTATATATATTATAATAAATATTATTTTTGGCTTCAACAGAGTCCTGTGTCGTTCTTTGTTCTTTCTGTAACGTGTTGGTTGCTCGGGCGCGAAGAAATGACAAACAAATACATTTTTGTACAATAATGGATTAATAACTTGTCTGATTTCTAAAGCAGAAATGCTTTAAGTTTGACCAACTCATCTTCATTTAATTAACAAGCGTTTACACGCTCGTAGTAATTAATGTATACACATGTAACCTTATAATTGATTCATCTAATTTCGAAATAGACTGTAGCTACGGTGCAAATTGGTGCATAGTACAGAGTCCCTCGGATTCGAAGCCAAGAATTATTAATATGTAAACTATCTATACAAATATATAAAGCTGAAGAGTTTGTTTGTTTGAACGCGATAATTTCAGGAACTACTGGTTTCGAATGGAAACATTTTTCTGTTGCTTATAGCATTTATCGAGGTAGGCTATGGTTATAAAACATCGCATCGTGCTGTGCCTAATAGGAGCGAAGAAACAGCGGAAAATGTGGAGAAAACATCATCTTTGTGGCTTTCCAATAAGTAGGTACGCTGCGACATACTACTACACAACAGCTAATTTGGATGCTCAAAATAGCTGTTGTATAGTATATAGCTAGTGACTCTAGCTATATACTATACGATATATAGCTAGTCATATAAGAAGACTGAATGTTATATTTGCTGTATTAAGTTTCCCGATAGAAAATTAGTATATAACAATTCAAAGTTAATAAATCAAATGCGTGACCACAGGTGCAAATGTGGCATTCTTGGATCACCTTTGAGTGCCCCAACAAGATTTAAACGACTTTTTGTTACCTAATTGATTACGTCCGTGATCTATAGATTATGTAGATGTTTGACCTTACGAATTGTTTTAAGTTGCGTAACGACCCAATCTGTATTTGAATAAACGGTGGGAATACAACACTTTCGCAATATATGTACTTTCAAACCTAATCAACTAAACGCTTATATAATACAGTAAAATTGTATTTCTATGCAAAATAATACATATACAACTTACATAAATAACACAGCATTACGTACACTAAAAAAATATATACCTTTATCTTTTTACATTAAAAAAAACAGTATAGTGTTAGTAATTTTCATTAAATATATAAAAGACTGTAAATTGTGTAAGGCTTTCACGGCCATCATTCAACACATCATGGTCTTTCGGGCAGTTCGGCCGATGTGAGCGAGAAGAGGTTCTCGACGTTTCGCCAACAACCTCTTCTCGCTCACTTCGGCCGAACAGCCCGAACGACAATGATATGCATAAAATACTGTCAGAAAGCTACTGAAGAGTTTGTTTGTTTGAACACGCCAATCTCAGGACCTACCGGTTCAAATTGAAAATTTCTTTTTAATGTTTGTGTTGGTTAGAGCACTTATCGAGGAAGGCTTTAAAACATGGCCTTGTTACTAATAGGAGCGAAGATACATCGAGAAATATGAAATAAATTAGAAAAAATATTCATCGTTATGGGTTTTCGAGGCGTACGCTACAAAAACGGTTCATGATAACCAAAAAATATATGTATGAAAGAATGATTCCTCTTTAAACTATGTAAAAAAAGTATGCGACTCTATATCTTTTAAGGTTAACTTGCAAGAACGGCGGGAAGGGACGCGATCGACGTCGTGGATAACAGCGTAAGTTTCGCTGGCACAGCTAGTATATTATATATGCATTGCTCCTAAATGCATTTTTTGCATTTTGAAGCATGGGTCACATGTACACAATATTGTTATTTTCCTTCTACATGCGACAAAGCGGCCGTTCCTATAATCACAATCGTATCGTAAGGAGGCTAATTTAATTACAATTAAGTGCATGAAGCCGTTAACACTATACAGAGCTGCTTTATTATATTAAATTCATATTGTTCTACATACATTATCGATATTGCAACGGTCGCATTGCGGATTACTGCCATTAGCTGCAACCGTATGCAAATCGCGACCGATAAGAGCTGGTAGTAATAATAATCTTGTGAGTTTATGAGATCGATCGTAATTGATTTAATTTATAGAGTAGATACGAATATAGTTTGTTTTGAGAAGAGATCGAGAATAGAAGACACAATATCCTATCTCCCGTGTGCATGTACCTGCTGATCAGCAGATTGCAATTAACAATAGATATTGTTTAAAAATCGAAAATAAATTGAAAGACTTTTCGACTCGGGCAGGACTTGAACCGGTATCGTCAGCGTTCCGTGCTGTCGTTCTACCAATTGAGCTACCGAGTCCTACACCTCATCGTCGAATTTTTTCAACTTATTGATACATGCACTTGCCGCGCAATGTAATTTCGACCCTAACACTTGTGTATTAAGGTATTGCGTATTATTATTTATATAGTGCCTTCATGTGCAATAACATGTAAAAAAATATTAAAAGATATTGTAACTATTTCAGAAGAGAACTGTTTCCATTAAATACTGTCTATAGTTTCCATTATCTCGACCATCGAACATTGTGTCGCTCGTATCGGCATGATATTATTATATAATTTATTCTAGGTTCAGTTTCTTTTTAAACTTTTAGATTATATAGAGTTACAGAATTAAAAAATATATAGTATGTTTTCACTGTCGAGCTCTATTTTTTATCGCCTTCATAACATATTAAGATATAATAATCAGAAGTGGAAGAATATCATTTCTTTTTATACACGAATACGTACTATTATACTTTTAGTTTATTTAGTGAATAGTTTACAAAAAGTAAAAGATTTTGTGCTAAAAAAGTATTATTTACAGGTAGTAAGCAAGCCGTATCAAACAGCTTCCGGCGCGGAGCTGACCAAATTGTGCAACCACAAGCGGAAACTGCTCGCGACGCTGCAAGCGCGCACGCACTCCCCAGCCACTCCGCCGCCGCAGACTGAACAGCTCAAGAAGGGTACGTTAATTTCTCTCTTGGACATAACGACTACAGATTATATTGATTTTATTTGACTACTAGCTGGCCTGGCAAACATTATTTTGCTATATGGACCAAAGATTGATTACCACAAAAAAGGTTCATATGAGGTAATTTTAAAATATTTTTTTACGTTTTTTAATGAGAAATAATTCTTGAATGATGAAAAAGATGAATAAATTTCCCCGTTTTCCACGTTTCTCATATTAATCGCAACGTGATGTTTTAAAGCTGTTTAACGAGGAAAGCTGTAAGGACAGCCTTCCTCGTTAAATATTCTAATCAATACAAAAATGAACCAGTAGATCCGGAGATTAGCGCGTTCACAAATAAATTCTTCAGCTTCCATTATATTAGTATAAATACCTTACAAGTACTGACCGATGCCACGGTGGGAATCGATCACGCTTTTAATGCAAATACTAGTCAATGATATTAATCAATAAGCCAAGTTTATAATTCACCACTAGCGTCGATTTTGTGAAGCTGACTAATCTTACAGTCATAATACAAATCGACATAGTAGAATATAACTTAGTAGTAATTTTCTTGTCCGATTCGTATAAAATAGTACCAATTAACAGTAACCGAACTCGTTAATTATAAACCATGTCATCCTTGACCGATACAAATGTAGCGTTATTACAATTTTAACCAAATCAAACGAATTCATTATAATATTTCCCAACTTATTATTATAGCGTCGCTTGTAACTTTTAATTGGTTACTTAATAATTCTTGTAGCACTAATTGCGTTCTTCAATGTTTCAATTTGGATGTTAATTTTAATAAATTACTTTGTAACTCAATCTGATGATTGACGTAAACAGGGAGAGACGAGATAACAATAAACAAATTATTATTGACGTTTAAATAGCGGAGCTGCGTGGCTTAATTGGGCGTTTTGGGGTTGCTCGGTTTTGTGGCTGTAAAGAATTTATAAGTAACTTTTTCTGACCGACGTATGTCGACGTGTATTATTTATTAATTCAACATTTTAACGAATATTTTTTTTATTTTTATGAGAGATCAGGACAGATAAACATGAGTACTTGATAGTAAGTGATATAACCCAGCCTATAGCATCTAAACAAGAAGCGCCATTGCCTTTTTTTTTTTTTTTGGATATTCGAAAATCCACAGCCTGAAATCGAAACGCGACGGCTGATTTAACTGTAGTCCGTGCTTCCTACTTGCTACCACCCATTTTATAACCGGCTTTCAACACGAGGTATATGTTTCAGAAAAAATAAAAATTGATTAGAAAAATGTCGGACCCGGTGGAAACCAGTACCCGTTAATTAGACACAGTGCGACCATTACAAAAACGGCCCCGTTCAAAAAGTATCTTAAATTTGTATGTGATGGTAAAAACGTGGTTATTTATTATTGAAAAAATGTAGGTCTACTACGTACAACACGCGAAAATAGGGCGAATCTTCAATTCAGTACAAGTGGTTACAAATGTAGGTCAGTTAATAATCTTCCACGGCTTGTCAACGTTAAGACCTTCTGGGCCAGATAAACTGAAAAGTTCCCCAAGGGAAAACGATTTTCGGAAACTTGTACGAAGTTAAATTTGTTTGTGGGACCTTCTGTTGCAATTGAAAGACATTGACATTTTGGGCTCTACACACGGTTTTGTATCCATGGCGTATTTGTCTTAAATTCTCGTTTGTTTTTTCTATGTTATTTATGCTATAGCCTTACCTATACTATATTATACTTTACTCTTATTATAAGTTTAAGCTGTTAAACGCGAAATATATACTTAATTCATTAACTACGTTATAGATGCCTTGCAACAGCCGCGGTAATGGGTGGGGAGGGGGGGGGGATCTGGTCATACTGGAAAATAAGTTAACTGTTATATTTCGTGTTTTTCACTATGGGGGTGTTTTATTCAAATATGTACTACTCGTCTAAACCACAGACAATATACGCACTGTACTTAATTGCGTGTATTATGTACGACGTTCGTAAGGTTTAAAGAACAGATCTGTTATATACCCGTACCTTCTCTATTGCGAGATTTTCTTTTGATCCGATTATACGAAGTACTCCTGTGCCTTGTTTTCATCCAATTACCGCGCGAGATTAGTCGGTGATCCGATGAAATACTGCAGCGGATATATCCGGATCGAATTCAACCGTTCCTGCGTCAAATAGACTGTGATATAAGTCTTGTATTAATGGAGTGTACGTATTCTGTCAGTGTACATATTGCGAGCTTCGAATGCGCCTATCGGCTTTCACTATAGGAAAAACAAATGAGAAAGACAAGTATCCGAATGTTCAATACCAAAATAGGTCGACAGCGCATTTTGCGAGATGTTATATGGCTGGGGTATTTCACCTTCCATAGATCTATCTACCTATCATAAAAAAAAAGAAAAAGTAAACTAAGAAGTCTTAATTTAATTGTTCAGTGAAATCTGTCTTAATATTTTTTCTAAAAGCTCTCTACTGAATGAGAGTCAGCAAATAATTAAAATAATTCCATCCTAAACAAAGGGAAAACTTTGTCTTTAATTAAAAATGGTTTTAAAACGTTTAATCCCAAACAAAAGAGAGTCCATTGTCCGCAAGGAAACTTTATTTTGCGCCGTTCTCGAGGCGTTTCGCAATTTTCCCTTTAAAAATCTCATGGTCTTAGCATAGAAGCGTTTCAGAGCTAGTTAAGTTACGTCTACTAAACGACCGGAGTAACATTGCAAAAGTGGTTGTATGGGAGTTTTCTTGTAACAAAGAGGGGTAGAGCGGCTTCTTTGTTGATAAGTGCCGGGAGGGGTGGCGATTCCAGGGCTGATAAAAAGTTGAATGGGGCATTATCTGATTCTGTGTGTGGCAAATGACTGAATATACTTCAATATATTTTACATTAATTGACTATTTTTACTTAAAAGAACAAGTTTAGTTTGTTATATAAACGCATATGTAAGTACCATTGACTTGACGTATGCACCGATGGATTCTATTTTATAATATAAAGATTTGTAGATGCCTAATTTCGTAAAAAATATTAGGTTATTTAGTAGACATACTATATTTTGAAATCATATTATTAACATTTTCAAACTGTGAAACGAGTGACAACCCTACAAAAGGGGGGTGTTTAGCGCCTGAATAGTAAGAACTGCACCTCGCCTGTCCGGCCGGGAGTAACAACCCGAGACTGCAACGCTATGAATACTTACCTCTGAGAGATTTCTTTTGCAATGGCGCTGCGATTTTAAGATTACGTAATTTCACTTGACTTCTTAGTCTCCATTGAAAGTATTTAAAGCCTTTTCATAACTTGCGCTCTTACTAACTTTAATTAGACCTTTTTTAATCGCGACCGCATTCAAATAAATATTCTTATTTAAATTATCCGAATATACTAAGAAGTTACCTTATACTGAATGGAGTGAACTGGTAAATACTTGATTAATTGTATGAAGTTCTGATCTATTAAATACGTTATTATATCGAGAAATATTCTTTATAATTAAATATGAACAATTTGTACAAAACAAAGAGTACAGGCACTTATCATAAGCACAGCATTAAAGTCGACACGTTTTATTACATTTGAGGCAACGACAAGTGCCCCATTCCACCGGCAAACCGTCGGACACCCACTCGGGAGCTTGGCCATTGCTCCGAAACACAAGTTAATCATATAATAACGCTATTATTGTACGAAAATGTTTGTTCAGATTGAAGGTTCGATGACTCTGATTTCGCTTCCTAATTTACGCCGCTAACTGTTTATTGTTTTGACAAATGTTTTGTTAATTAGCGCGATGCTTTATTTCTTTTGTTACGTTTATAAACATTTACATAACTCAAAAGTGGCAGCTTTTAGATTCGTGTGTGTAAACGTGAATTGGCTCCCCGGTTCATGTAAGATTAACGTCAGAACCTATAAAGAGCTCTTGCAAAGTTTATTTCCTCGGTATCCGTGCCTCCCCCAATTTGGGCGCCACTCTATATTGTTGGCTAGAGCACCGACAACATTGTGTTCCGGGCTTGTCACTAACAATATCGTATTCATGACTACACACTCCTATTATACGGCGTACGTCCTACCTGATGCCACGTTGTTCATTTATATCACGAGGTTTTAAACACTAAGTTTCGCTAGTAACCTATATAAAAGTATCGTTAGACAAATAATGGAATAAATTATGAGACGAATTATAAAGGCTTAACAAAAGATCGTTTTCTAATTACAATAATTGTGACATTAATTAGAACTTCGTTAAACAAAGAAGAAAGGAAGAAAACAGTTAAGAAATGATTACACAAATCTGTTAAAAATGTGCCTAAAGGCAAACCTCGACGAGGATATAGGGCGAACCGGGAAGTGTCCTCGGACCGCAGAATTGCGTAATTACCATCAAGGAAGTGGGCCGTTCGGAGGCCAACAAAAACGTTGGCGACTCGATCGGGAGTGGGAACAAAGCCCGAGCGTAATTTGAAACAATCGGTGGTGCAAGGCGGGCGGTGGCGCACCCCGCCGACTATTGATCTGGTCCCGCAAAACCCCGCCAACCCCGGGCGCCTCCGAGAACACCCCGCCTTCTACGGCCAGTATTTTAATTGCAAATCTGCCGGATAATGTGCAAATAGATAACGGTATTGTACTCGGCTCGCTAATTATGTTACGATCGGATTAACTCGTCTTTCTTAAATTGTTTTAGACTTATGTTTGTAATTGTTACTAGATTTGCTTATATTACAAATATTAGGAGCAAATAATGATTGCTATATTATATATATACTAATAATATTCATTAAAGTTGGCATTCATACATAACAATAGCACATAGTTATATGTATTTATGTCAGTGAGAGTCAGAGAAAGTTGAGAGAGTTGTTGATTCATTACATCCGATATGTTCACACTTTAAAGGTCAGATTGCGAAACAATGAAAGAATGAAACAATATTAGTCGAACCACAAATAAATTTCCCAATAAATATTAAATATTATTCACAAAGGATCACGATAAAAGGAAACATTTTAATAGATTTTATCGTTTAATTTGAATTCTTGAAATGAACTCGTCAAAGAATGAATAACTCTATTGTTCGTTACAGAACCGCGAACGCTAAAGGAAGATGTTCGACCTTCATGAATAAAAAATAAAGGTTTTATGTTTGTAACGAAAAAGGAAAATATGTTAATGTTATCGTTTACTTTATTTTATTCATTAGGGTTATTTAGTTGGTGTATTTCGACGCTTTATTTCAACGTTTTTATAGCCTTATCAATTAGTATTGTTTTGATTTTCGTTCTTATTATAATAAAAATGATACGTACGTTATGACCATGAATACTAGTAAAAACATCAAATACTGCCACTAAAATATTAATGTCAGAAAGATAATAAACAATGAAAACGAGAAAAAGACGCTGAGATGTTGAATATAATAGATAATGTCTTTGCATTGTTTAAGATTACAGTTGTCTAGAGATCGACGCAAAGTCATCCGGTCGGTAGCCTCGCGACCTTTTCTAATGCCGTGTACAGACGAGGGTTTGCAGTGTGTGCTCAATACTAGAGTACGATTTTAAGATTTAGCCAGATAATGGATAAACACGAGTCGGGTCTAAATAAATATAAACCGTTTTAGTATCGATACATTTAGTGGCTTTTATAGAAAAAAGAAACGCAATAATTTTATCATCTAGATTTTTAACAATTTATAACTAAAAACCCAAGTTACCTAAGAAACAAAGAATTAAGTCGTTCCCAGACTCTTTATAAAACATGAATCATTTGTATTATCAGTTTTTGCTTAAACCGGCCTATATGTGAAGGCACCCTAACGTTAGGTTCATTGTTAGGTAACCTGCTTTCTACTAAATGGATCTTTCACTTCCCCTCACATCTGGGTCAAGTGATGTAGGATTATTGGTTTTGCGAACGAACTATACGTTTAACAACCCCATACGCTTTATTGGATAGAGAAAAGGAGCTACTAGTAGTATGTTTGGAATAAAAAAGCACACTATCTTATGTGAAAATGACTATGGAATTGTATTATTTTAGGACCAACCCTGGATCCACTTGCAGCGAAAAAGAAAATGAAGAAGAGGCCTAGCTTCACCCCAAATATGAGCGTTTCCCAAATGATGGTGCAACGAGACATACCACTGAACGATTTCAAGGTAGTTTGGTATAAATTGTGATTCTTGATAAAAGATAAGACGTTGCCAAAAGCGCTGCCGGCGCCCATGCTTTATTTTTATTACGCCTATCAGCTATAAGTGGCGTTATCAAATTGCTATGGGAATATTTTATTCACTGAATCACAAACTTTACATAGTAGTAATTATTTATTTATGTTTTTCAGATTCTTGAAGATCAGAAAAGAACTACTTCGCCCCGGTCAATTGTTCATCGGACAATGAATCAGCAGTGCCTACCCCTAACCCAGCAGAATGTGCTTAATATAGTTTCAGAAGAGACCAAACAAGAGACTCACGTTCAAAAAAGTTTGCACTATCTAACTGTCAATAGTGGATGGATAACTCAAAATCCAGAAAATATTGACGTAAATCAAAAATCAAGCCAAGCGTTGCCTACCAATGTGAACAATACTATCAATATCGGTATGCCTGTATTAGGTACCAATGGGCAAATAATCGGGGTCAATACGAGTTTCGCTAAAACAGCGAACGTTAAAAATTCGATAAGTCTAGTTCCACAAAATGTCAACGAGCCCGAAGGGAAAGAAGACGAAAAGGAAACGAAGCCCGCTAAAGAAGAGTCTCAGATTTTCTGCGGTCTCAACCAACCACTCACACCCGAGGTTATGCAAAAAATTAACGAACAGCAGCAAATATTTATTCAAAGGAATCAGAAACAAATAGAGGTTATGAAGGGATACAAAACGCAAATGGCAGACAATGTTAATCAAAATAAGCCAATAATGCAAAATCAATTCGTATCACAAAATCAGCTGGTAATTCAAAACGGTGCCGTGGTAAAAACCAACTCCGCTAAAACGCCACCGTGGCAAGTTAAGAGAACGGAAACAAGTACTCCAAACGCTTTAACCAGCCCAAGCCCAAAACTACACAAATTAGATCAAGTGGAATATGATGTTAACACCAATCCTGAAGATACAACGTTGCAAAATAACAGTTTCCACAACAATGAGCCCCATTTGAACCAGGGTATGTGCTCCAGGGTACCTCCTTTACCGCAACATTACAATATGATGGGGCAACAGTGGCCGAGTGTCGATCTCAACAAAAAGAAGGGGAAATCACATAAAACACCTAAAAAGAAAAATAACCCAATAGAAAACAAACAATTAGTATTTGGTAACAATGGCCTTAAATACATGCAGGATCAAAAGAAATCATCCGATGATATGATGACTAGCAATGTTCCATCTTTCATGGATGATCCTAGCGGGTATCTGGCGCAACAGACTGCGCTTTTAAATAATACGATATCACGTCAGGTTGGGGTCAATGCGTCGTACGAAGGAAACCAATTCGACGCCTCAACTAGTTCCTATAATACGCAAAATCAAAGTGATCGAGGTCAACCCAACAAATTGACAAATAAACAATACGAGCCTGGCAATGTGTTTAGAAATAATATCGCACCTAACTCATTACCGTCACCCAACGCGCCGGATAGCAGCGTTGTGCCAGAAAAAACAGTCTCAGATAATTTGATCTCACAATGCTGTAAAGGATGTACAGTCACATTTAAAGGAAATAATTCCGAAATGTCAGATGGCCATATGAGAAACAAATACAAGCAAAGCATTTATTCTGATCTAGACGCGTCTACGTCGAGTCCCAAACACAATTTCGACGAAAGTCCTGTGACGTCTTCGACGTTTATCGAGAGAAACTCTATGGTAAATGAAAATTGTGGACCAATACAAGCGGGCGTAGTGAGCACTAGCAACGTTTCGCCCACTGAGACTCTACAGCCACCTGAACCATCGCCCACCTTGTCGAACAGCTCTCGTTGCACAGATACGCCTCATAGTAACGGCAGTAATAACTCTCAGCAGCAAAACTGCACGTTTCCTATGCCGAGTCCAGCGTATTCGAATCCCGGGTCATGTAGAGACAACTTCAACAGTAATCCTCCAACACCAAACAATCTCGGGTATTCATACAGCTCCCCTGGACCTAATACTCAATCGATATCAGGAACGCAAATGATGCATTTTATATCAAATCACAATGTAAATAAAAACCTAATGGAAGTGGACAACATTTCAATGGTCGGAGTGAAGCCTGCCATAAAGCAAGAGACAGTAAGACTCGAACCGAGACGCAGATTCGAAAACATGATGCCAGGGTATTGCCCTCCACCGCACTTGGGCGGCGGACCACCATACTCCTTAATACAATCAAATTACATTCAAACTTTTGTAACTACAATGGCTAGTTTCTCTGTTATAAGAGATACCGTAACTTCCGTTTTAGCAGGAAAAGCAAATACAGCGACAACTTCTATAAACGCGTCTCAGGTAAACTTCGTTCGGCCGCCGCCACCACCTAGTATTAATTTAGCTACTACATATGCTATACCTAACAATCAACCGGACCCATTTATCAATTCAGTCAATCTGCCGACCAGCTATCCACTGCACATTGCTGGTACTACAGCACAAAATATGATCTCAAAGTCTCCTTTAGAAATGGTTCAGAATGTTATAAGCAGCTTACCTTGCAAACCGGAAACTAGTAATACACAAAGTGTATCACTACCTATGGGAAAGAGGGCCACACCCGGACAAATAGTTATTTCTTCAACCGGGCAAATTATAGTCAGTGGCAACCATATGCCTCCGCCACCCCCCAAGAACACTACGTCTTTATCACAAGTGGGATCAAATGCAATCACAAACGTCACATCGTCAGTTACTCAGGTTGTGCCGGCAGTAGCGGGAGCACAACCGATGGTCAATCAACCTACTGTCGTAGTTAATACTCTGCCTGCGCCCTTCGTAATACAACCTCCGATGATGGCGGTCGACGGCCAAGTTGTGCAACAAAACTCAATGCTTCCCCAAATTGTGACAGGAGGTATCGTCTCCGGTCAGTCATCGAACGAGACAACCAGACAGATCGAAGTAAAAAATAGCCAGAGTTTCGTACAAGGTGTAGCCATGCTTTCACCAGAGAGCATTAAAAAGAGAAGTAAGAAGAAGAAAAATCAGCCGGCTAATATCACAAATGTCTTGCAAATAACCGCGCCACAACAAAATCCTAATAATATTATGGTGCATTCTTCGCCTCAACATAATACTAGTCCACAATTCTCTCCTAGAGGCTTCCAGCTTTCACCCACAAATAATATTTCACCTACACCAATGTTACAAGCGTTGACTATAGTTCCAGGAAAATCCGGTACTCCCGCCCATATTGTAATGAATGGTCAGGGAAACACGAATAACTTTGGTTCACAGCAGATCATCACAAATACGTCCCCATCACAACAAATTAATTTATTACAACCTGTCAATTTAATCAATAACACGAACAATGTTATGTCAAATTTCCCCGCCTTCCAACAGTTTATAGTACCAAATCTTGGGGGAATGGTTATGACGGCTGATGGCACCGCGATCATCCAGGATAACTCTTCCGGCATGCCTGTACAATTACAGCTGCAAACGGTGAACGGGCAAAATGTGCTGACCCCAGTCCAAAACCCCAATGTATTCACCGCTGGTACGAATAGCGGCGTAGTTATTCGTCAAAATCAACAGGGCAAAATAATTCAATCTCAACACAGTCCCGGCGCACAGTTCCTATCACCTAACAGCCAAGTAATGGTTAACAGTCCAAGTTTCAATGGCCAGCTGAGCCCGTTACTGGCGAACTTGAGCCCGACCAACGTTACTTTTAACCAGAATCCGGTCAGGTCGGGAAATGTACAGGCACAGGAATTCATTCAGGCCAACCAGATCGGACAAACGTTAATGGTACCGCTATCCCCTAAGCAGGTGTCCATACCGTCGGCGTCAAACTCCAGAACTAATTCCACTTTCGTTCAACAAAATACAACGATAGTACAACAACAAACTACTCTAGTTTCGAACTCCCACAATACGCAAATGTCTTCTATAACAACGAATCTTCACGGCGGAAATTCTTCGCGTTTCAACATTGATCCTGGGCTCAATAAACTGCCTCAAAAGAGAAATTTTATTCAGATGCAGGAAAATTTTGACGAGCAAAAGGATAGGCCGCCATCAGCGCAAATATCTCAAGTGGAAGAGAAAATGGATAATTCTGAGAGTTACGCGAAGTTTATGAATGACTTCAGCCCATTGTTGGGTCAAGAAGGTTTCTCCCACGTGCGACACTCTGTCTCGACGCAGACGTTGTTGAATCAGCAACGGGGCGGGAAATCTCCGAGTAATCAAGCGGTAACTGGTAGTAGTCCCCCCGATACGACGACACATAGCCCCCTGGGAGCGTCGGAAGCAGCGAGTCCGAGGATATATGGTTCACGCTGTGTTTCCACTCAGGGCAATTACGCAGACACCACGACGAAGTCGCCAGAGCCTGCTGACGCTAACTCTTCGGTAAGTTTAATACATAGAAAGAAATATATTTTACACATAAAAGCAAAACATAGATTTTTGACTATTTTCCACACAGGGAAAAATTATCACTAACATTCAATGTATGTATGTATATACATTTATATTTTCTTGAGATTTATTAATTGACTAACTACGCTATTGTGTACAATTTCAGGGCATGGTTCAGTGTGTTTCGAGTAGTGAACAAGACATGGCGGATTCACAAGAACGCACTTGGCCACCGCTGCGGAACGAGGGAAGCGTCGACGCTGACCCCACTAGTAAGTAGTTCTGTATAATTTCATATTTATTTAAAAAAAAAGATTATTTTTATATTTAAATATTTTATTTATTGTAATAATTCATCACTATGCTATATTTATAAGTAGTATATATTTTGCTCAAAACTCATCGTCGATATTTCGTTGATTTTCATTTAACTATTAACTTTTCAGATAACGTACTTTCAAACATCCAGCTAATGCGTCCAAACCGTTCACATAGCTCGGTGGAATCAACCGATGTGCCATACATGGGTCCGTCCGGGACTAATCAGCACCAACACCTAATGTCCATGGGCTCAAACCTCTACGATCGCCCGCCCTGCTACAAGCGGAAAAACGAATTTGACTCGTTCAGGAACGAAAAGCTAATGAGGACTAGCTATATGAAAGACCTGGAGTACGATATGATGCAAGAGAAAACCCCAAGGCATTACCAAGGGACTAGTTCTGATTTGAAGTATGATAGACATATGGGGGGCCATGGTGAGTACTCACTTCGTAATAGCTTACGGCAACGCAAAGCTTATTAAATACATTTAATTTCCATACAGACCTCTTGCACTTGTCAAACTGAGCTTTCCAAACTATGTCGTATATATTATGTTGCAGCATAATACAGGGAGCCGCCGGACTGAATATTTGCATAATTTAATTAAAATCAGCCTAGTAGTTAGGTAGGCTTAGGAATAATCTTACGAATTAACAAAATACATCGAATCATAGCTACGGACACTCAAATGAATCACTGTCATTGACAACAAAATGCATGTTGTCATTTTGCATAGAATTATGGATTTCTATAAATTTAATATCTGAATTTACCTTTAATTATCTGTATGGGAATTAAACCTCGTTCATCAAGCATTCTTCATCGCAACTTGTATAATACGCAATTCAAAAAGCAAACTGTATGTCACTACTAATCGGAATCATTTCACGCTTTTACCATAGCTAACAAAATTCAAAATTTTATGATGTTGTGTCTTGTATTGGTTATGTCTTTGCGTCGTATTGTATTATTTATTCGCGAACTCAAATCTAGATCCTAGCATTGTTGTAGGCATTGGCGTACAGTAGTCAAAGAGTTAACATAGCTTCTTTGATATAGTTGTAGCGCATTGTTTGGTAGAATTAGCTGCGTCTATAAATAGCACGGAGTGAAAAAACGGTCCTAAAGACGACCCTCTAAAAATTGAATAAAAATTCAGATGTTTAGTAGTTTTATGACGTTGCTTTTCCCATTGCTCTTTTGAGTTCGCGAATCCTATACGGTTTTCGTATGTAATAATATGATGTATATTGTCGTACATTTCAGCTTCTTCATAATGCGATATTGGTTGGTTTTCTTTGGTTGGGTTAATACAAGATACAGCTGTAACGGTGTAGTGGAAATCAATGTGCCATATTTCTATGCGAACTCTCTGTTGCTTTCCATTGCACTTGTCTAAGTAACAAAATTGGCTCTCGAATTGGGATTCCATTACTAACGCATCATTGTAAAGCGATCATTCCATATCTTCATCATGTAAGTAAGCACATCATATAACTGTTTATGACTCATTATATAATAAACAACATCATTGTTATTTGGAACATATTAATTAAAAATATATTGTTTCATAGAAAATCTTGTGTGAAAGAAAGAATTGGTATAGTTGTAAATAATAAATATGTCTTCTTGTCTCTTGAATTACTTCAAAGAACTTTATAATATCTGCGACAGTTTTTAAAAAGCTTTTCCTTCGTAATCACATAAATGTGTTCCAAATGTCTTTTTTTACTTACATAACACTGAATAATCGAAAAATGTCTAAAACACATGTAAGCTTACCAATTGTTAACACTATTCTTAGCTTGTATACAGTTAGCACCATGTTTTACTCATAGTTCTGTGCGTATTGTCTTTGCAATTCATAAAAACTGACTGTACTTTTCGAAAAAACTCGTTAATTTAATATTTTTTCTCTAGACAGTATTGTCGAATGCAACGAATGGTTGTGATACTTGGATTGAATAGCCACAATAAAAAAAATGGATTTGGCGCTTAAGCCATGGTATTATACAATTTCAAACAAATGTAATAGCTTCTTAAAGGTTTAACAAATTGCAAAGGCTTACCATAATTTAAAATTAGCAACACAAACGCTAACTCATGTCATCAAAGGGTAAAAGGTGAAAGGGATCGGTGTTGGAAATAATGCATCGCCTAAATGATATTGGTGTGATAGATTCGAAGAGCGAAGACGAAACACCGGACTCCAAGTTTCAAGTTGGCGATCTGGTGTGGGGTCCAGTTAAGGGGTATGTCTCGTGGCCGGGAAAATTGGTTGGAAGATGCGAGGATGGAAAATGGAATGTGAGGTGGTTCGGTGGAGATAAGGCGCCGAGCAATGTGGAAGATGGGAGACTGCTTACGTTAACTGAAGGCCTCGAGGCGCACCACGCGGCGAGAACAAAGCACAGGAAGTGAGTCAAGACTGCGATCTATGCCACTAGAGGGCGCTGTTATCAAAAATATTGTCGTGGAATTTTACCTTTACATTTGCACTTGTTGGCTGTCAGAGAGTCTAGTATGAGCTTAATAATTAACGAAATGTCATTAATAAGAATTAAGTTCAAAGAAATGTGCAAAAACAAATTCGTAGTTGTGGTAATTCTATTCTTTTTACGCCGAACGACTTATTAAAATTTTCCGTTTCAAATATCTAACAATTTGTATTTATATGCTAAACAAATTTATTTGTCTGTATTTTCCTCGACAATATTGATGATATAGCTTCGCTATGAATAATAATTAACACATATAGTCTTTTTAATTACTAGGCAATATGCACCTAAGTGTAAAAATACATAGGATAAGTAATAATAACGTGTAAAATTAACCCAACCGGAAGACAATCAAAATTATTTAATATTTGACTGTGTAATGTCCAAAAAGATATGATTTATTTTTTACTATGCATATATTAACGCTTTTAAAATGTCTTGCTATGAATGTTTTAGAAATTATGTATGTTTAGATTATAAGAAAAAGTTTTTGTTATGTTGTTTTTTTTACTGATGATTTATGTACGTTCCTATCTAGGAGCAGAAAATTGAACACCCTTCTGGAGAATGCCATACAAGAAGCCATGTCGGAGTTGGATAAGAAAAGCGACCGGGAACCCAGCGCAGAACCCAGTACTGAGCGCAGTGCCGACATCAGCTCAGAAGATGAAATTGTAGAAACTCCTCGAAGAAAGAAAGATAAATTGAAGAAGTTTAAGAAAAACATTCAAAAGGTAGATGGCACACGTTTGAGGAATTCTCGATGACGACCTCAATAAAAAAAGCTAAACTTAAGAGGGTAGTTTATAAAAAAAGAGAACATATATGCCTGATTATCTTTCAAGCTTACTAAGCCATATTTACAACATGACGTGCATCCCAAATAACTTTTTTCGACATTTGAAGCCGTTCATTTGAAAAAAATGCAATTTACTCTTAAGTGACACCAAAAATCACGACTTGTACTTTGACATATTTGATTATGAGATTTATATGTAAAAACAATTTCGATGGTTCCTAATATCTTCGAATGTTATTCCAAACATATACAATAGATTTTACAGTAGTTTTCATATAGATAGTTATAAAGGTGTAGATTGTGTCCATTGTAGAAGCTAAAATGTGAATTCTCATTTTATAATATAAAATATCAACGTTCGTGTACGATGTTTATCGCTAACATATTTTATATAAAAAAAAGCTGCAATACAAACGAACTATAATTAAATACGATAAATAATGTTTTGGGGAGTCCGTGACCTAAAATAGAATTGAAGTAGATTTTAATATTTTATATGATAATTATATATCAATAAGACAGCATGAGCTAACTAAATCTTAGTTTTCTTTGTATTCTGTACAAATTTTTATTTTTATCAAATTGTAATTCTCCATTATATTATTTATAATATAATACAAAAATTGTCCTATCAATTCATGAAATAATTCGCTTGTCAAAAGTTGCTGTCTTATGAAACTAAGAAAACCTATAATTAAGTTCTTCATATCAATATAAACCATATTTCATATTTTAAACCAGTAGCCTAATAGACAAAGTTCATTAAATCTATAGATATTATTGTAAAAATAGATTTATTTATCAACATCGATGAGCCCGCATTTTCTTTTGTGTCATCGACATTGTACAATTTATAATAAAATTAAGAAAAAAGGCTATTTATCTGTGTATATTACGTTTTGTTAGAAAGTATATTATTATGGTTTCTAGTCAAAATATTTGATCGAGTGTAGATAATTGTAACTGACAATAATTCTGGCCTGAGAACGGAACATTACATATAAATAAGTACAGTATTTATTTCGTTTTACGTGATTGTTTTTCATTTGCGATAATATTAGATAGTGTGTTATTATTTGACATCAGTGACAGGCGAATTCGCAAGCAAATGAAACGGCTAGGCGTCGTTGGCTAGTCGTGTTTTTATTGTCCGATAGGCAAATTAACAATTATTAAAAGCAAGATTTTAAATGATTATAATCCATTATCTTGACGAATCCACCTTAACTGTTTAGTAGTGATTTTTATAACAAGGCCTACACATGACATGTCCGTAGACTAATAATATTGGGCCAGACGTGTCTATCAGTTTTTAAAGAAATATGTTTTGCAATTGAGATTGTGAAGCGGCGAAATGGGCCTCCATTTTAATGGTATCTATCATCACAGGCGGGTGCCTCAGTGTTTTAAGATTTTGTTCACTTTGAGTGCGTCGAGGTCTTCGTTCGGTTCGAGGGAGATTAAAAATATTTTTACTTGCTTTTTTTCACAATTAAAGTTATATTGTAGCTATAGTGAATTCTCTTAAAAGTTAGGTAGAACATTAGATGTGCATCAATACAACTCGATAGGCAATTTGTTATCAGCAGTCATTGTTAGATAAGTGTAAAAATAATTTATGTGATCTTTGAAATTTCGTAATTATATAAAAAAAATAATCATAGCTTACATACGTCGATTTATCGCTCAATTTGCGAACCGTACTCTATGTATATCAACAAAACGCAAATTGAGAGATAAGTGTTATGCTGACGTTACTGTTTTTATATTATGGTATTTTAACCTTAGGTATTCCATTTAAATGTCCTAATTAATATAAAATTAGTCTCGAGATATGGACGTAATATTAAATGTTATATTGTTTATGAATAATGGAATAGTCGTACCCTCTGAGACGGTATTATTGTAAATAATTTAACTGTAGTTATGTATAGTATTTTATTTCAATGACTTTTAATGTTTTATAGACTAATATACAACATAAGATTATTTATTTGTTTTGCTGTGTAAATATTTTTTTCAATAAAACGTACCTGTTTTTAAAACTATCGTATTTTTTTTAGTTCCCGTTCGTCAATAATGTGCTATTTATTTATGATACTGCGTTTAAATGGACCGATTTTCAACGAGAGACCCAACCGTAATACTAATGGAATATACTTTATAGTAAGGAAAAATTCTATAAGTTCGACACCTAATATAAACATCGAGTACTATATTTTTCCCCCTATTTATAAAAATACTGTTTTGATAAAATTTAGTTGGCAACCCTATTGTCAACTGTATTTTATGATATCGGATAGAACTTTGAACATTAGTGCTAGATGGAACTTCGCTTTTCCTCCTAATCCTTTACAGGGTCCAATTATACTTTCGATGCTACCTCTCTCCCAAACATTTGAGGTCTGTCGATTTGAAACGATTAGTTTATTCGGAAATCAAAGGATAGCAATAACACAATTTGGGGCCAACCTAAACGGTGTTTGATTAAAACTCGTAACATTTTCAATAAATTTTAGTTTTTTTTTTATTAGTGTATTTTGGCGACTAGCAAAGCGTATATTCGTATCGAACAGTTCGTTCGTACAGAACATGAATTAAAAAGTTATTTTATCAGTATACACTTCTGTTGTGTCTTGTACCATATCTTAAGTGTTTAGTTATCTTTCGCTATAATTTCATTTTTTTTAATTTTTAAATTCGCTATATAATGATGTTGGAAGCCGATCTTGATCAGCTATTGAAATTGAATGATTACTAGAAATCCGATCTTTGTTTTGATTGCCTGTTCAAAATTTGCTAATTGCTTATCCATGACCCAAATACAAACTGTCAGAACAATTACCTCTGAAATAAATATATTGTACATAACTATCGTAAATAAACCTCTACATAGTTCGTACTTAAAACAAGAAAACATAGTATCCAAATGAAAGCTACATGTGTAGTAAACAAAAATACGACCTATTGAATTTTCAATTACAGTCCATAGAATTTGCGAAGTTGTTAAAGACTTAATTTACATCTAGGAATTGATATAGAAAGGTTACTTAAGATATTACTTATCAAAGATATTAGTCAATAACATGTTTGACTTAGAATATAATTGACTATTAAATAATATTTATTATTAGGTATAAATCATCAAACATTAAAATTATTCTCACTTTCTACCTGTACTTTGGTAATGAGAAAGATCTTAAAAACAAATGCGATTTCAAAATTGTAAACGTGACCAAACTGGTTGCACTACAATACCGAGAAAGTCCCATTAGGATGCGAGAGGCTAAGGGTTAAGGCATCATTATACTGCACATTATAATGATGCCTTAACGCATTATAAGACGCTTTTGTCCTACTGTTTGTATATAGACTATGTCACCATTACTGGAGCAGAGCGTGCTCTTTCGAGCGCGTAGTAATTGCTTTCTTGGCTATAAAGGGTCGTTTAGGCTTCGATTGGCATTTTGTGTTTCAATAGTTTTGTTACGAAACCATCTGATGCATTCATTTCGATCATTTGTTATCTCAACTTGCTCGTGACACAGCTATAAGACTGATTTATTTTGTAGAAGATTCTTTTTCCACTGCGTATTTACTGTAAGGAAAGTCTAAGGACACGCGGAACGTACAAATATGTGAGGTGTATTTAATTATTGTAAAGATCTCTGTGAAGGCTCGTTAGTCTAATGGTAGTGTATGCCTAATCTTTCTGACACATGTTGGACTTCGTCTGGAAATCTGGATAATAACTGGGTGGTAGGAATATCAAAATTTCGTCCGATGCTCAAACCACCGTCCACAGATGAGAAAACCGTGAAATTAATCGCGTTTCAGTTTCAGTCGTGGATTTGCGACTATTTAAAGCCAAACTACGGTCGGTTATATGGCTGAGGCATTTCATCTCCCATCAAGCGAACCCCGTGTTTGTCTGTCCTCTATATAAAAAAAAACTTTCATATATTAATTCGAACCTGGTGTATGTTAAAGTGGAGTAAGTACAGTTACTTAAGTAGTACTAATAACAGAGGGGTTGAGACCAAAGTTGGTATTCATTATGACATAGGCATATTGACAACGCAGCTTTAGTTCCAGCTGAATAGTAGAAGTCCAAGTGTTACGAGTTTCTGGCTTCCGAGCAGGTCTGCAAACAAAATAGTGGAGCAACTCGCAAACGATGTCGCATGCAATATGTTGGGATTAAAAAATAATATCGCACATGTTGCCGCCGGATGAAAGGATGTTTGTTTTTGTGATATTTTATTGCCGACATAAAGGTAGGATTCTAAAATAGGTTGTATTTTCTATATGTTTATTTGGTCAGTGATTTCAATGTTAACAAGAGGTAATATAGTTTTGACAATTATTGGCTATATAACGTGTTTCATCACCTCCACGGTTTACTTGCCTCATGCCTTTAAAAATAGCTTAATATTATATACACATTTATCGTATTGTACAATATGATACACTAACCTACAATAACAGTTTATCCACCAATCCATCATGAGTACAGTTCGGTTATTTGACGGGTTTGTTGGTGTAATGGTAGCAATGCATGGTTAATTATCAACGGGTCGTGGATTCGTACTCCACCAGGTCCAATGTGTTCTAAACAATTTATATATTTTTTATACATGTTAGGCTTCGTCGGGAAATCTGTATGTGAAATAGGTGGTGGGTCGATATTCTGTGCGGGTAACGAATCACCGTCCTCAGATGAAAAAGTCGTCCAGTTTAATTGTATTTCAATTTCAGTCGGTGAATTTCCAAATATCCAAAGTCAAAATAGACCGACAGCGCATCTTCCTTTATAAAAAACGTAATACGAGTATTTATATTACTTAAGAGAAAAACAAGTTTATCAACGAGCCAGACTTCCTAACGTCGAATCCGAAAGTCAATAAGTCTTTCCTAACCATTTCTTAAATTAAAATAAATGTTTGAACCGACTAGTTTGTGTAAACG